ATGAACCCTCACCCTTTATTTAGCTTCTCTGGAGAATGAACCTGGAAAAAAAAAGACACCACTGCTATCTCAGTCCCATATAAATTAACTCGATTCTTGATGATGCCATTTCTCTCTCTATTTCAAAAGCAGTTCTGAAGATGGATAACTAATATAGCCTAAAAAAATCATAAATACATTTTCTTTATTGTTTCAGGACAGAAAAAGTGGATGAAGTGATTAAGGAATGGGAAGGTTCTTTCTTTAAGGACAACCCTCGCTTAAGGAAAAAGTCCGTTTCCTTGCGCTTCGATCTCCACCTGGCAGCCACAGAGGACGGGTGTTTGCACACAAAACAGAAAAGCCTCCCCGATATCGAAGTCAGGCTGGTGATGAGGAGATCCTGCAGCATCCCATCCATCAAACCTTAACCTCAGGCAATTCCCTCAAAGTGCATCCACAAGGGGCTCTGGAAATGAGCAGGGGATGGACTCCCACGGCTGCTGTCTGCTACAACCACAACATCTCACCCAGCACTTGGATCAATACAAGAAAACCATTTAAGTCCTTTAAAAGAAAGGGGGTTCCAATTCCAAGAAACCCAACTTCTACTGGTTTTATACTCTGGGTGCAGCCCTTTCATATTCTCATTGTTGTTGTTTTGTAGAATTTCACCAAATATTACAAAAATTAAACTAGAACTTTATAGCTTGACATATTCTACCTTTGTAAAAGAGAACTTGTTTTCTCTTTCCAAAAATGAGAAATGCCTATTTGCTTCTCTTAACTATTCAATATTCCATTCATATAATGACTGGTGAATCCTTGCAATAATTTATATCACAGCTGTCATCCTTCTAGAAATATATTTTAAAATAATTCTTTCTAACAGCAAAAATTACATATGAAAATACTCTTAAAATACATGAACTATTAACAAAGAGTTTTCTTTTAAAAGTGGCTAGTATTTTTAAATTCCTTTTTTTCAGGCAACAACTGAGCAAAAATGTCTTTACATCCATATACATCCATTTTAAAAGTGTTGTTACAATGCAGTAACATTTTAGCCATATTGTTCAACTGATTTTGAAGCAGTAATTTCCCCTGAAAAATCAACCATTTTCTTATGTGTCCAAACACACCCTTGTACTACAAGTCTCTTAGCTGAGGCAAATGAAATTACTCTCTAATTGTTCAAAAGGGAGGAGCCAAACAACCATTTGAATGCTGGTATTCCATTAATTTTGTTTATAATAACAATGTGCATTAAAATATCTTCAACAAATTCCTCTTCTGACAAACACTACAGGTAAGTGATGCTGTTGATCTAGTCCATGTGACGAGTCACTGTTACACCAGGGTACAACTGTTACTACTTCAAATTAACTGGGCAATATAAGGGCTACAAATTCAGTGTACAATTCAAGCAGACCCCTCAAGAACCCCCCACTCCTACCCAAAGTGGCTGTGGGCAAACACAAACCCCAAGAGAAACCCTGCACCGGTACACAGAGGAACAGCCATCCTTCTCTAAAACCTTACAGGACAAATTTCAAACAAAGACTCAAACAAGACTGTATGAAGCTGACAATGATTGTTTGTGAGGATTCTGAAGAGGATGGATGCCACAGGTCCCACTGGAACCCAGGATTGCTGGGGCTCAGAGTCTGGAGAATCCACACACAGGGTTTGCTGGATTACAGCAGCATGTACAGGACTGATTTCAGTGTCAGTATCTGCCTTATTACTTATGGCATGTGTACTAAACTGATACTGCAGATTCTTTCAGAGTTAATTTATGCTTCCATCCTTTGTTCATGGTAAGAACAATGCATTGATATTGCCCTGTCCTGTCTGTACTGTATCAAACTTGCTAATTATCCTTAACCTGAATCATGAGCTGCTGTTGTTACCACTTGAGTACTTGGCATCCTGAATGTATCAGCCTGCTCCAGTATTTTCACTATGCAGCTTTTTTTTTGTGCTTAGACTCTGTACATTTTACAATACTTGAATTTAAACTAAGTTTTAATTGCTTTAAGGCACTTTAAACAGGGATATGAATTTACCAAAGTAAATTATAGTACTACAATAAAAAAAGGATTAAAATGGAGTTTGTCCATGCATATTTTGTGTGTGTGTGTCAATGTCTTCTCCTTAAGTGGAAAGGAGTAAAAGAAAAATGCAAAAAAGAAGTTACAGATAGGAAAATCTGTAGCACTGTAACAAGTGTTCTCTAAGATCCTCTCTGCAATTAGAAAGACACAAATTCCCTCAGAATCTTTACCATAACATGTGAGTGTCTTTCTGCTACAAAACTTACTTTTGTCCTGGTAAATCCAATCACCCTGGCTATTTTCTTCACGTGTGACTTCCTGATACTGACTTCAGTAGCTTCTCCTACTCTAGGCCTGGTTCAAGTGGGCATTCTGGTTTTAACTCAGGTTTTCACCTCTTTCAGTAAGTATCTATTTTTGCATTATTCACAAATTTCATCTCTCAAAATGTAAAGAACTCTCTTTTGTTCACGTAGTAGTGAAATTCCACAAGTGTCAGCGTGAACTCCACATGGGCATCAAAATAATAAGATCTCACCCTCATTTTTAGGTCACTTTAAAGCTGAATTTAAAAAAAAAAATTAACACTGAAGCTTAATACTGTGGCAGAGAATGCTTCATTTCTGTGGTTCTAATTAAATCCAGACCAGCTGAGCCTCTGCCAACCAGCACCTGCAAACGGCTGATGTAAAAACGAGTTTTATTGTCTCAATCTACTTCCCAGTGAATGTCTGTCCTCATTCCAAAGCTTATGAAACTGCTGGTAATTAAAACAGTTGGGTAAGAATTAGGTTTTACATCCCCCCTGGTGAGCATGGTGCAGTATAAACAATTCCATTAAATCAGTAAAACTACTCATATGTTGTACAGGATATTAAAAAGTCTACGCTGGCGAAATCTTTCACTATCACAGGATGGAATTAAGGCAAAGAGCAAAAAAGGGGAATAAAACAAAGCAGGAAATACACTGATGGCTTTGAAAACACAGAATGATTTAGAACTATTAGCATGGAATGTGAGTTTCCATAAATGTACTTGAACACCACAATAAACAATTCCGTTTAAAAAAAAAACAACCTTTGAAATAATTCAAATTTTAAAATTAAGGTTAAATTTAAAAACAATTAATAAATATTTCAAAATTTCAATTTTTAATTTAACATTAAATGCAATTTACACTATCAACAAAACCATGTTATTAATAAACTAGAAGTGAATGTATGAAAGTAGAGGAGCCTAGTCGAAAGCAGGGGGGAAACCAGGTTATTTTTCACCTCTTAGAAGCATTTTCTCACCTTTTCTTTTCCTTTTCCTGCCCCAGTGAAGCTGGTGAACTAGTGTGACGTATTTTGCTGGCTGAGGAATCTCTTCAACTCTTGCTTTAATATCAAATTGAAGTCATAGATTATTCTGCTGCATGGCAGCAAATGTCCATTGTGGGTACAGTCAGCAGAATCTAAGCAGATGAGGGCAGAGCTCTTGACTCTTTATTTGTTCATAAAAATAAGTGTATTTAAGCATGAAAACAAACTGAGCCAGTGGAACTGCAGGCATTAAGAAAAATGGACCCAACTTGCAGCAACCCATGTTAAGTTACATTTTCTTCTTTTCACCTTCTACCGTCCTTTTGGATTAGGCAGGTACTATCCCCCTTGGCTTTCCTTCAGATCCACCCATATTCTCCCTCATGAATTTCTAGAAATACATCCTATTGGCCACGGGAGAGCATTTCAATGCCAAACATTCAATTTCAACATAAAACACTAAACATGAAACTTTCTATTTCAAGTTTCACTGACAAAGTTTTCATATTTAATTCAGTCATCTTGATAATCTGCAGTGTAAAAGGCTCTTAAAGCTGAATACTGAGGTCTGGAACTCTCCATCCTCCTCACACCCTCAGAGCCACACCCTTCACTTTGTTTGATATTTGTGAGGGTTTTACCTATGTGTGATAACTTTGCTGATTTCTGCAAGGAATTGTGGACAATTCCACTGCTCCCAGACTACTGGGTAATTTATAATCCTGTCTGATTCAGCAGCAGAGTGTTTTGAGATGGTCAGGCGGATTCAGTTACCAATTATCATATATTATCATATTTATTACCCGGGGTCCATCTCGCTGCCTTCACAGCCGTCTCTAACGCCATCCCCTTCCTCTGACATTCTCCCACACACCGGCACCTTCCCGCTGCCCTCAGAGCTCATCCTGCTCCACTCAATCACCTCTGGAAGCGCTGCCATCCCAAACAGCCCTTTCGGTACCACACTCTGCACAGAACAGGACCCCGCAGCACTGACGGACGGTTCACCTGACTCCATCGCTGCTTTTTATGGGATATTATTCGGGCTCGGACACGACCCCGCAGGGTTTTCCGTGCCCTCACGGCAGCCCGGGGATCGGGGCGCCTCAGGGACCGCCCCCTACCCGTGAGGGGAAAAAGGCGCCAAACGCCCCTGAGGGACCGCGCGCAGCCCGTGAGGGGAAAAAGGCGCCAAACGCCTCTGAGGGGCCGCGCGCAGCCCGTGAGGGTGGAAAGGCGCTAAAGCGCAGCGGGCACGAAGCATCCGCAGGCCCTCCCTGCGCGCCCGTTCTGCGCCGCAGATTCGCCACCGGCAGCCAGCGCTCAGGGCACCGTGACCGGGGTTCCTGGCGCGGGGGAAAAGGACGAGCGGGGTATTGGGCACTGCGGGTCTGAGGCGCCGCGGGAGCCCCTGGAACACCCCGCGAGGCAGCGCCTCCGTGCCGCTAATGGCGGGCGGGGCCGCCCTTCGCGCGGCGCTTGGGTTGCATCCCGCAGATTCGCCACGGCCCCTGGAATCGCCGCCGTCCCGGAGGGTGCGGCAACGGCCCTGGCCCCTCGGTGGGGCGCGGGGCAGCCGAACACACCCCCCATCGTGAGTAGGGAGTCACCGGCGGGCCGGGGCCGGCGTGTCGAAAGTGCGGAGCGGAGTGCGCAGGCGCCGTCGCCGCCGCCCCGGCCCGTGGGAACAAAGGGAGCGCGGCCGTGCCGAGCGGGTGAGTCCGGGGGGCCTGGCGGGGCTGACCGGGGGGCTCGGGACGGCCCCGGCCCCGGCCCCTCTCCGGCAGCGCTGCGGGGCTCGGGAGGGCCCTCGGTCCCGGGGAGGGAGCGGTGGGGCCGAGGGAATCCCCGGTGGCCGCCTTGGGCCCGCTCAGGCTCCGCTCGATCTCCCCTCGATCTCCCCGGGCCAGCCCCGTGTGCGAGCCCGGAGCACGGCGTTAGTGGGGATTCTGAAGGAGGTTGCAGCTGCCGTGGCGTGTTTTGAAGAAAAACGCCGAAAAAAACCACTTTGTTACAGCGCTGTGAGACGTGCTGCCGGGTTCGGTGCTAAAAGGTTAAGCCTTGCCTGTCAGACCGCAGCTGCGGGGCTCGGTGGTTGTTTTATGTACCCTGTAAGGGAAGTGCATCATTTGGTCATTTATGTATTAGTATCAGATTTCTGAAACAATGAGTGTAAAATAATGGGATATGTTCTTTTTATTCCTTACAGGATAAAATATATTTATTTAGACCCTTTCATATGAACGTGACCTAAACTTGTGTGCTTTTGCACAGCTATTTAAGGCCTTAAGATTCCTTGGAAAATCCATTAATTTTTCAAAGAGATAACGCCTTGGTTTCTGAAAATGCTTTTGTCTGTGTTCCAGAATTGACAAACTTTGATAATCATTGGTATCATTAACAATCGAAGCTTCAGCGATCTGGTGGGGGGAAAGTCACAACACTTAATAGCGTGATCTTCTTTTGTCTTGCAGAAGTACAAATATAATGTCAGGTGGCTGAAAATTTGACTATCAAAATGTCAAGTAAGTTTTTTTTTTTAAAGATTTTTCTTTCTTTAACTTTGATGTTTTACAGATCTGGTTCCACAGAATCTGTTTTTTGTGAGATGATGCCATTATTCCTGGCATTAAAAGAAATTAGCGAGTGTAGTGACTAAACTCTTGGCCTTAAATCCTGCTGTGGCTGATTCCTGGCATATTGTTTTTGTAGGAAATCCAGATATCACAGCTTCTGAATCCTGTTGGACTGCATTTTTGGTTTCCCTCCATGTAGTTTGTGTGCATATAAATTAATTTTATATTCTTCAGTTTTGTGCTTGAATAAAAGCCTAGGACAAGAGTAATGGGGGGATTTCAATTTTTCTTTCTTTTCTTTTTCTAGTGTTGCTTTTTGCTGTTCAGTGGCAAAACGCAAAGTCTTTCAGAGTAGAGTTTTCTTGTTTCTGTAAAATCATTTTAAAATATTGGCCATAGCAGATGCCTTAAGAATTCATTCAGATTTTCAAGAAAAAAAAAAATTTGCTTGCATTTCTATCTTAACAGAAAGGCCATCCTATGCCCCACCTCCCACCCCAGCTCCTGCAACCGTAAGTATAGTGATTTTTCTCATTAACACAGAGCCTTTAGAACTTCCCAGAACAATAATTACGGAGTTGCATCACCTTCTTATATGGGAAACACAATATTAATGTCATATGAATTGTTAAAATTAATATAATTCTTTTTGGAGAAGTTTGGGAAAGAAAAGCTGAATAAACTTATTTCGCCTTTAAGGCTGGATCTCGCAGACACTGAATTTTCTGTGAGCAGTCACTTGTCTCAAACGACTCACAGTGGGTTGCAGCAGTACTGGAATAGTTAAGAATCAACTGATACATTTGATTATTAGATGTTCTGCTCAGCCTGTGCCCAAATCACGGCAGACAGTGCATTTTTCCACGTTACAGTTGCACTGAGCTGCTCTTTTTTCTTGCATTTGAGTGGAATGCAGGATTATGAAACTTCCTGTTATATTGGGTCAGAATAATGAAACGCTCCTGATGCCAGTCTTGCATTCCTTGAAATCACTGGTATTTTGGAGTCTAGGGCTTGGGAAATACTTTACTTTCTAGTAAAGTGGCGTGCCCTGACACTGAGGAAAACATGAACAGGAGCTTTGAATCCTGCCCAGTGACATTCCTGGATGTACAAAGGTGCTGCAGTACCAGTGTGCTGTGGGCAGGAGCTGTTTGAAAGTAAATGCACATCTTTGGTCACATTTATGGATAGTTTGGGTTTTAGGACAAATCCTTCGTACAGAAGATTGAGCAAAGATGTTATAGTGAATTTTTTTTACCAAAGTGAATTGGAAGACTTACCCAGTAGTGTGTCCTTGATCTCTGCAGTATGGGAGTTAAAAGGAATGTGATCCTTCCAATTTTTTGTGCCATACTTTACAGGAAGAGGCTTGATAAATATATAATACATAAATACAAGTTATGTTTTTATAAGTTTACATAAATAAAACTTGATTTTCATAGTTTGCTCAGAGTTTTCCTTTTGCACACAGCAAACTAGATCTGTTAGAAGGAACATGATGGATCCACTCTGACCCCTGGATTCCTGCCTCAAGAGCTGTGCATACACATGTGATTCCTTTGGGATATAGCATGGATACAGATGTTTGATGGTTCATATTGATGTGGTACAGTCCTTCAGAAGGATACATGAAGCACATGCCAGGACTGCAACCAGTGCCATGCATTGCCTGTTTTACAAGCATCTTTTATTTTGTATTATATTTTATACAGTCCTTCACGGGATGGTCTGTGCTCTGTTAATGCAAGTCACAAAGTAGCCAAATAACCTTGCTTGTTCTTCCACAGCCAGTTCCAGGTGCTGCAGTCAACAAAATCCCAGTAATTCTCAAAACTGCAGTACTGTATCCGAAATAAAAATTCTCCATGTGATGCAAGGTAGTTCCTGGTAACATTTAAATCCTGTCTTGCAGAAATAAAGAATTAAGCAGACGGAGATTACAATTGTCACCTGGTTTTATTGAAGAGGTGTAGTTCAGCATATACAAAGCCTGTTGTTATGGTAATACAAAAAACTGTACTAAACCAGTGCCTTATGAAGTAGTGAATGTGTATGTCATGAGCCAAGGCATACAGATGAGCACATCAGCTGCTGGGAATGAGTTAAAAAGCTTGGCAATAAAATCTCTGCTGAAGACTGACTGTTAATGGATAATTTTCCTCTGCACTTGTGTATTTAGAAATAAACTCCTGCAGTGTGTCTGCATTGACTTGAAACCTTCCCAGTTACTTTAGTCAGCTCCTAAAACACTTCTGTTCAGTGTTTGTACGTGTTATACTTTGGTTCTTAGAGTCCTGAACCTACTTGTCAAATTTGTATAACTGTAATCTGGAACAAGTCCAGTCAGTGAATCCCTGAAAGGCTTCTTGGAATGTTTATTAGGGCTGCTGGAGAGTGGGACACTGTGGGAATGATATTTAAATGTCCAGAAACACTCCAGGCTCTTGTTCTCATGGAACCATAGAACCACCGCAGTCAGGACCTAATCACAATTCCCATTAAATAGTTGATCTTTTTTTCCAACAAAATCTGACTGGGAAAGGGGGGAATGACGGAAAAAAGAAATTTATTTGAGGAGGGGAATACAGGTAATCTGATGAAACTTGAATGTCCATTGCTGAGTGAGAAGGGAATGCAAAGAAACAAGATTTTTTTTTCTGCGTGACTGAGGTGAGAACAAATCAGTCCACTTTCATGAATGAATGAAGATGTATTGATTAACTTCTGAATTATCTTGGATTTGGTGATCTGTTCAGACTAGTTTAAAGTTTTTAACTTACAGGTCTTACTGCAGATGCAGAGTTCCTCAGCTCTGCAATCTACAGCCTGCCTTATAACAGAGGGATGTCTCTGGGAATTATCTTCAGCCACTGGCAGTGGAGCACAAATGGTGCTTTGAGAGATTTCCTCCCCTGCTCTATTTGTTGGGAAGGCAGAATTCTGGGAAGAAAAGCAGGCAGGGACTTTCATTGGTGTAGTAAATGTGGGTACTGGGGATTTCTGCCCCATTGCTGGGTGCTGTGTTGCCCAACTTTCACCCTTGGGAGACAAGGGTCTTCTGAATTCCTTGGTGGCATATGTTGGAAAACTCTATTAGCCATGACCTGAATTTACAGAGTACTTGTTTAAATGAGTTACACAGTTAACAGAAATAAAATCACCAATTTTCAGACAGAAATTTGTAGTGACACATTTGCTTAAAAGTCCTGTTTCCTTACTAGGTTTATACTGGAGTAAGTTGTGTGTGTTGGGAAGACACCAACTGCTACACCTCATTGCTTGTTTGAATTCTGGTTGCTTTTGCATGCCATATTGCAGTTCATTTTCATTTCTGTGTTCTCCTCGTTTGAGCTCATTTCTCATTCGTGTTTTTGTCTCATTTGTTTCCATCAGCAAATGCCCAGCACCCCAGGGTTTGTGGGATACAATCCATACAGCCATCTGGCCTACAACAACTACAGGCTGGGAGGGAACCCGGGCACCAACAGCCGGGTCACGGTAGGAGAATCAACTATTACATCCTCCAGCAGACACCAGGAGCTGACCAGAAATGGCTTTAGGGTTAGGTTCTTCGGAGTCTTGGCTGCTGCCACTTCTTTCTAAAAAAACCAAAACCAACTTCTGATTCTTATTCCTCACCTTCCCCCCCTTCCCCTTCACTCTGAAACCTTTTGCAGGAAAATGGGTTTTTACTCAACAGGGAAAACTGGTAATGGTATATGATGCAGACATCCAAAAAGACAGACTTTGGTCTTCAGTGACCACTGCATGCATAGGAAAAGCTTCTGTAGCTGGGTATGAATTTTTGGAGGGAGGGAACTGCTCTTTTTGCTAAGGTTCATTGGTACAAAAATAAGGAAGAACATTTTGCAAGCTGGAGATCGTTGATAGTCGTTGCATCATCCTGTTGAGCCATGCAAGAGGTACAGCCCTTTATTTTTCTTTCTAGTCTTAGTCTGGTAATTACTGCACAGTCCCAAGTTCAGTCATTATTTTTTCAACAAAAGTGTGATGTTGATAATAAAATAGAATCCCTTCAGCTCGTATATGTGTCAGTGTGTGGGAAATGGATGTTACATTCATTTTTCATGGAGTAAACAAAGTGAGATGGAGACAAGTGATGAGGGAGGTGACAGCTTCTTTCAAACATGAATCAAGTCCTAGCATTGTATGCAGTTAGGAAACAAAAATAGACAGTGGAAATATAACACTGTTAACACAACAGAAATAGAGTAAATCCCTGATACTTTCTTAAATATCTTACAACTCTAAGGTTTTTCCATGTAGAACTTTGTACCTCAAAACTTCTGATCAGTTTGGAAGGTGATACAAAGATTTCTCAAGGATCAAATTCATGGTGCTTTTTGAAAGTGTAGTCTTTTTTATGCCTCTCATATAAACCTTCTTTCAAATGAAGTTCATCAAGTTTGTTAAAGCATTTACAGCAAGGATCTTCCCCTACAAGCTGGAATTGACTGTTCAAATGGATACTTTCTTTATACAAGACTAAGTCAGGTTTTGTCTGAGAACTTCCATTGTTTCTGTATGTCACAAACATACACAGCCTGCTCTGCCATGCATATCCCAGTATATGGATGGTGTCTTTAAACCCCTCTTAATTTAAAAGCATTAAACAGTTTCCGTTAATGTTTTTCCAACCCATCTGTATGTGTATCTATGTATACATTTTGGTAATGCATATACCTCATGCACATTATTATACACAGTTCTGTATGCATTGTTCATAGAGCTCCATAAATTCAGCAAACAAAGAAAAAAGAAAAAAAAAAGAAACTATCAGGAGGAAAACAGTATTGAATATGAGCCTTCTGGGCTAAACCCAAGTATTGATCTACAGGCCACAGCCCTGAAAGATCTTGAACCTGCTTTATACTTTCATGTAAATACTCCCATTTAATACAACTCCTAGCATGTGGAAGTGCTGGAAGAAAGGAGGGTTTCAGGCCCTGCAGTTGACAGGGGCTGTGATGTCATTGCACTGCTTTAGGAGCAAGCCCTGTCAGATGTTCTGTGGGTTGAAGGGACGCAGGGAGACCCAGCAGCTTTCCAGCAGCAGCATTAAAGCTCAGTAGCCTTTTGTGTGGTGCCAGCACTGTGTCTGGCAGCATAAAGCCAAAGCAAGACAGAGCACAGGAGCATGTTCCAGGCTAATTGGGACAATTCATTAGAGCTTGGCTACAAGTAGAGCACATATATACCTTTTAGCTGCATAGAATTGTTTTGTTTTCATAAAGAGTCTGTTAATTGGCTCCACATTACCACTGACAAATTTTACAGAAAAATAATTACTAAAATTATTTGATAATGTCTCTAAATTAATGTTTTTAAGCTTTCTTCATATCTTTTTAAACCTGTACAATAGCCACATTAAATTTGTCAAAACAGATAAAATAAATTAGTCATCAGAAGTGAGAAAAGACAACCTGATGGGATTAGTGTTTCCTTGTCAGTTCCTAAGCTATGTAGTTCAGTTTTGAGAACATGGAGCCCTTTTGAGGATTTATCTAGTTACTTCTCTGTAAACTTTCAGAGAAAAGGACAAACTTACATTGGAAATTATTCCTCTGAGGACCAACTCTAGCTAGTGCTTGTCCACTTACAGCCTGGGTAATTTTTCTGGTGATGTTTGCTTCTCTTGGTGGGGGTGTGTGAATGCACAAGTGTTTTCCAAAACGAGTGCGTGTAGAAACTGTTCAGCGATCCCATTAACGAATGGATTTATCCGGTTCTTTTATAGGCTTCCTCTGGTATTACCATTCCAAAGCCCCCCAAACCCCCAGACAAGCCCCTGATGCCCTACATGAGGTACAGCCGGAAGGTGGGTATTACAGTGTCCATCAGTAATAAAGTCAGTGTTCGTTTGTGCTAACAATTAATTGCTATGATCTTAGTTTCAGCTTCTAAACGTTGACTCCTAACAGCCTGCGCTCTCTTAAGGGGATGTAAAGTACAGAGTCTGCCCTGCAGAACAAAGGCAGCAGTAGTCTGGTCACACAGTTGCCAATTTCTGGGGGGAAAATTGCTAAAATGCTAATTCCTACCACTGTCTGCTGACAAGGATCCACCCCGCCACATTCAGAAGTTCCTGTGACTTACTGACAGAACTTTTTTATATAAAGGAAGTATTCCTTGCGTTTTCTGGGCTTGGTGCAGTGCTGTAGCTGGACTGAAGAGTAGCAATGAGTGGACTTTGCATGTTCTCCTTCACCACCCTAGCCCGTGGCAACGTTTGCTTCGCTATTCTGTGAACTGTTTGACAGAAAGTAGGAGAGAGACTCTTGTGGAGTCTGGAATCTGATGGGGCATGGGGAGGGCATGGCAACCTGGCTGAAGCAGGTGAGCCAGAAGGAATTTCTTCCACTTCTGGTAAAGTATCTTTACCAGCATATCTGTCTTAGGCCAAAAAACATCAACACACACACAAAAAAAAAAAAAAAAAGTCAAGTGGCGCAGCAAGAAATTACACTGGCAGCTCTCCTTTTTTTGCCCTATAAAGTTAGGAACCTTTTTGGTGGAGTCAGAACTTGTTGGAACTCAGATTGATCAGCAAGACTGAAATATTGTGAAATGTTACATTCTGATCTGAAAAGCTCAGTCTCTTTGTCATAATCTACTGCTGGATGTGTTTACTCAGTAGCATTTTTTTCCCCGAGATGCAGCGATGTTCATTTAAGAAGAGAATTGAGAGGGTTAAAGGCAATATTCCCATGAGACCAAAGCCACTCAGCAATTGCCTGGTTCAGTAGCTGGCTTCCTACTGACTTCCTGCCCCAGAAAATAATCCAGATAGCTTAGCCAGACTCATTCCTAGCTTTATCCTGTTTTTCATGGTGATTCCAGAAAGAACACTGAGATGACAATATAAAATGTTTAATTTGGAAGTATTTAGATATCATTAGTAAAGCTCCAGCTGTTTCTGTTAAGGTCTGGGACCAAGTGAAGGCGTCCAATCCTGATTTGAAGTTATGGGAAATTGGCAAGATTATTGGAGGAATGTGGCGAGATCTCACTGATGAAGAGAAGCAAGAGTATTTGAATGAATATGAAGCTGAAAAGGTAAATGGAAGAAATCTGGGATGTTTATTACAGCTGATTCTTCTAGGAACTGGTCTGAGAAGAAAAATTCATCTTCCCCATGCAGGGGTGTTTGAGGCATTCACGAGAGCCCTGTATGTAACTTAAATGGAAGTTTGTCCTGACACGTCTCTTAGATTTTTTTAAATAACTGTGCATCAACTGTGACTGGTCAGTTTTTAGACCTAATTCAAAATGAAGTATTTATAATTGAGTGTCGATTTTAACTGTGTAATGAATGGATTTGATTGTACAACATCAGTATTGAAAAGATTGTCTCAACACCAAAATCCTCTTTCAAAACTGGTGCTCTGCAACTACTGCTGTTGTCATGAACATGTTCCTAAGAGACTTCCAGTCACGTGGGGTTTGGTTTTCCTGATGGAACTCCACGCTGTGGCATTAATGTTTTGTTTCTTAATAGAAAATGCTACCACTTGTAGGGTTTTCTTGTGCTTTTGTTTTGGTTTTATTGATCTTAATGAGAAGAGATGACAGCTGCCTCGTGTCTAGGTTGGTAAGTGTTGAGCACCTGTACAAGACTGTTCTTGTGATTCTCAGGTACAAAGGGAAAATTGTCCAGCTGATGAATTGTGCTGACACCTGGCAGGCACCTGAGGCTCTGGCTACCTGGTCAAATCTCAGCTGGTTGTATTCCAAGGCAATAGAGAAGTACTGCAAAACTCAGTGCTCTTAGCTGAGAAAAAAAATAATCCAGGAATTCTATTTTTACCTTGGTAACGATGTTTAGATTGTAAGCTCCTTGGGGCAGGGGCCAGCTGGTTTCTGTTGTGCCAAGGCAGAAGGATCCTGGTCCTGATCATTTACAAGCGTTTTAGGTACCTTTATCAATATCATAGATGATATCCATTTTTTGATTAGAAGTATCTCAAATCACTGTACAAAATCTTAAAAATGAGATTAAAGAAAGCAATTCAAAGAGAAAAGGTATTTCAAAGAAAGTGAAAATAGTGCTGCTGTCCTGCTGCCAGGAGGAGACAGGAGTCTGGCTGCAGCTTTCTGTGCCATCCCAGAGCAGGGATGGGTCAAAGAGTGGACAGATAAATGATTTTGGAAAGTGGTTCATTACATACTGGCATAAGGAAAGAGAAGAAATCAGAACCACAGATTTAGTTAGAACTCCAGAGAATTACTGAGAATATTTTGTGTTTGCTAATTTCATCTTACCAGAACTTCATCTTAAATGTTCTGAGGTGTTTGAATTTGAAATCTCAGAAAACAAAGCTATCATAAAACAAAAAGGACCTAAGAACCAGCTGTGTTTTTAAAACACAAATGATTATAGAAGTTCTAATTTGTAAAAAAGAAAGACTGAGAGAATCTGATCAATTGTATCTCAGCCAGACGATGCAGCTTCAGCTTTGTCTGTGTAACCGCGCTGTGCGTTACACAGAGCGCAGTTGTGGCCGGCTGGGAATCACCCAGTGGTGCAATCAAACCGTGTTGGTCACCTTGCAGATCGAGTACAACGAGTCCATGAAGGCCTACCACAACTCCCCTGCCTACCTGGCCTACATCAACGCCAAGAGCCGCGCCGAGGCGGCGCTGGAAGAGGAGAGCCGGCAGCGGCAGTCGCGCATGGAGAAGGGGGAGCCCTACATGAGCATCCAGCCCGCGGAGGATCCCGATGGTAAGGAGCTGGTGTGCACTCCCAGTGGGACACTCATGGCAGGACAGGCCGTGGAGATACAGAAAACCACCTGGGTGCCCTTTCTGCAGCGCTTCACATGGCTTCTTCGTTTCTGCTTTGGTGCTTTCATGCCAATTTTCATTACCGCTTTTTATGCCGTGTAGCTGACTTTGTTCCCAAAAGTAAGGTGGCACCCGTGGCAAAAGTTATTCCAACCCTTCTTAATTAAGTGTGAAGTAATGCTCAATAGTTCAAACCAGATCAGTCTGCTTACTGCTCCATAATGGCTTTAGCACATGCTTTAGCAAAGGCTTAGATGACTGATTTAATCCGGCTTGGATGGAATGTTGTGCTTTATTACCAGAAGCACATAAATCTGACAGGCAGAGTTCTGGTGTGATTAAGAGCACCTGAACTTTGAATGTGTTCAACAACTGTCATTTGAGATTGTTTGGCGAGTGAGGTGCCCTTGCTGCTGACAAGTTGATGAGAAAATTCTGAACGTTTATTTGACTGCAAGGAAATGCACCCCACCCAGTGGGAAAAGTCAGCCTCACACACCTCATGGCTGCTTTTAAATGCATCACCAAATACTTGTTGGAACCTGAGGGTGAAAAATGTGCTCAGTTACACCCTTTTTTTTCCTTCCCCCTTGTGAAAGCACACCCCTGAGATAAATCTCATAGCAAACAGCACTTTCCCCCGTGTGAGGTAATTGCAACATTTATGTAAATATGTTTCATGCCGGAATAACTGGAACCTGGGGACTTGAGATTCTGTTCTGTGCTACCAGTGCAAAGTAGGCTTGGACAGAACCAGCCATTACCTCCTTTTTTGCTTTGTTTAATCAGATACCTACATGAGATACAATATACACTTGGAAATAAACTTTCATTTAACGGGTTCTCTTCTTTGGTAGTATCTCCTGGCATGGTCTTCAGCTTCTTAAGATTTCTGTGAATAGCTGGGATAGTTATCTCCAGTAGGAATACTTAATGTAAAACAAAATTCGACCTCTGGACTTTTCTACGTGGCATTGTTCTGGGAGATAATTCATACTTGTTGATTAACTGGTTTCTCTTTAGAGAAATGCACTTACTAATAAATAATCAAATTCTTTTAATACATGACTGTGAATTTTCAGTGATGAGTAAATGTGTCTCACTGCTTCATGCTTTCAGTCCTCAGTATTTTAAAAAATAAGTGGTTTTGATCTGTGCTACAAAGGTTATTTATAGAGGAGTCACTATCCTGGTGGCATTTTGTTCTGGAAACATGATTAATCAGGAATGGGTCTTTTATTTGGTGTATTAATAGTCCCTCCTACTGTGGAAGTGTGGAAAGCAACAGAGTGAATAACTAGGTCAGTCCCAATTTCAGCTGTGGGAAATGCATGTGAAATCAGCTGTTAGAGCTATGCCAGGTGAATGCTGCCCTGGCCACACTTTGTCTCATTTTGAAATTCCCTTGTGCTCTGTGTGTGTTACTGTGAACTTTGTGACATGACAACTACTGCTGTTAGGGCTCGTATTTTGGTTTTTGCGAGTGATAATGTGGGTACAGAGTGGATAATGTGGGTACATCAGACTCAGCTCTCATTTTGTGGGATCAAAGCAGTTACCCCTCCAATGCTGTTGCAGATTACGACGATGGGTTCTCCATGAAGCACACGGCCACGGCTCGCTTCCAGAGGAACCACCGGCTCATCAGCGAGATCCTGAGCGAGAGCGTGGTGCCCGACGTCCGCTCTGTGGTCACCACAGCCAGAATGCAAGTCCTGAAACGCCAGGTTCAGTCCTTGATGGTTCATCAGGTAAAAAGAAAGGATGCAGATGCAGCTAAAATGTGGTGGGGTTGGGCTGGACTCCAATTCTTTGGATCATTGGATCACCTACATGACTGTTCTTGCTGGGTGTCAGTGTTCTGTGTGCTCCAGGTGCTAATCCCTGGCATTTCGTGGGAGCTGCAGAACATGAGACTTCACCTTCTGTGCTGTTTTGTTCTTTGTGTTTTGTCCTAAGTGTTAATTCCATAGTTCTTCATTATTACACACAAGCCCCTGTATGCAGTTTTTAAAGTCTGCTGGTTAATAAGTACTGCTAGTGTTGTGATTTTGGGTACCTGACAACTCATCTTGTTTGTAATGATTCTTTTTTTTTGAAGTAATTTGTCCCTATTCTAACATTTTTCACTGAAAGTTAAATTTATACAAAATATATGGTGAAGTCACACCTGCATGTTTGACCCAGCTTTGGGCACATGCCTGTGTTTTCCAAACACTCATGTTACCAGAAGAGCCCTTTCAGCATGGTCAGTGTGTGTAGGGGTGAAGCAAGACCAGAATTAGGCAGGGATTTGTTGGAGTTTTTTTAATTACAGAAGATTTAGAGGGTGGAGGGGGTGGTTGTCCATCTTTCCTATGAATTGTGGTCTTTCTGTGTTAGAGACTGCAATTGATGTGGACAGTGTGTCTATACCTATGAGCTGTGTATATACAGACCTGTGGGATGTGTATACACAGATCTGGGGGTGCAGAATAGGAAAGAAAATGTGCAGATTTGATGCTGGAAGCTTCACCTCAGGTACACAATGCTTCATTTACAATATGCTTGAGCTGCTGCACAGACCCACATACTGTTCCTGCTTTTCAGTATGAACTTCTGAGCTAGTGGGTATCAGAGGCAGGCAGAAGGATGTTTACATATTAGACCAGTATTTAAAAATAAACCCATGTGAAAATTTGTATGCTTAGCTGTACTGTTGCCCAGTTTTTAGGTGACTGCACAGTGAGGTTCTTGCTGTTTGTTTCCCTTCCAGCGTAAGCTCGAAGCTGAGCTGCTGCAAATTGAGGAGCGTCACCAGGAAAAGAAGAGGAAGTTTTTGGAAAGCACAGACTCTTTCAACAACGAGCTTAAAAGGGTACAGCTCATTTTTCTCACTTACTCTGAGGAAGCTGCTGGTTCCACAGTGGTACAAGTGCTTCAGTTCTCTGTTCAGTTCTGAGCAATTGCCCAGCTGCTGGGGCAGTGCCCTGGTGTGGGTGGTAAAAAGCACAGAATGGTTTCCTGCTCCTTCAGTGACTTTTAGGGCCAGTACAGTTTAGAAGTGCCTCCAGGCTGGGCTGGGTGAATTCACTCAGAGCAGCTGGAGGAAGGTGGCCTGAAGCCACTGTGGAGGGCACACTGCTCTCCTTGGCTGCACTCAAATAACAAGTTTTAGGTTGTTTATTTATTCCCTCTCCCCTTTTTTTTTCTCAATATGCCTGTATCTCCCTCCCTAGTTACTTCCAGTATAAACTTTGTAAAATCAAAGTGCACTGTGTAGAAATAATGAAGTCATCACTGGGGTTTACTGATTATTTATTTCTCAGGGTAACTGCAGTAGTAAAAGAGCTAAAGTTTTCCTTTGTTTTGCTTTGTTTTTAATTGCTAGTTATGCAGTTTGAAGGTGGAAGTGGATATGGAAAAAATTGCAGCTGAAATTGCTCAAGCTGAGGAGCAGGCTCGCAAGAGACAGGAGGAAAGGGAAAAGGAAGCAGCTGAGCAAGCTGAGCGCAGTCAGAACAGCCTGGCAGCTGAGGAGGAGCAGGCAGCCAGCAAGGGGGAGGAGAAGAAAGAAGAGGAGAGCACTCCAATGGAGACAGGTAACTGCATCTGAACATCTGCAGAATTCTCCAAGGATCAGCATTAGAGGGTCTCTGAGGAGAGCAGTTCACTGCATCTTGGTGAACACAGGCATTTGCTTGCTTCTCATTAAACTACTCGTTTTTAAAAGAGGAGAAGATAAGATCCCACAGAGCCCCATGTCATGCTTTGTGTGTGATGTACCCAGGGGAAAAAATGGTAAACCTGAAGTTAGACTGCTTAACTGGGAGCAGCTGGGAGCGTTTCCTTGTCCCAGTGTCAGTGTCCAGCCAGGATGATGCAACAGCAATGCTTCCTATGCAGCTCTCAGGCAAATTTTCCAGCTGCTTTATGCTCTGGACAGTGGCAATAAGAAATGCTGCTGGATTCAGGAGTCCCAATGACTAGTGCATCAGTGAGTCACTGCTGCAACAGCAGGAACATAAGGAAAGAGGGGCCAAGGAGTTTGAATTCCAGTGCTTCTGCTTTAACAAGGAGCATGGCTTTCTTATGGCTGGAATTCTGAGGTCAGGATGCTGTGGCAGGACCATATATGTCCTCAGCAGTGAAAGATCCCTCAGTTGTGCCTGTCCCTGCATGTTCTAGGTGACTGCTATCGAATACTCGGATTTATTATAGCTTCTGTTTCTTCCTAAGTCCTAATTGCACAATCTAAATAAATATTGACATGTAAATGACACTTAGAAATACATTTTTCCAGAAGAGCCTCACCCAGAAGAGAGCACAGACAACCAGCAGAACGGTGAAGAAGGAACCTCCACCCCAGAGGACAAGGAGAGTGGGCAGGAAGGGGTGGACAGCACAGCTGAGGAGGGAACCAGCGACAGCAACACCGGCTCAGAGAGCAACAGCGCCACCGTGGAGGAGCCGCCCGCAGACCCCATCGCTGAGGAGGGCGAGAAGAAAGAATAATCACTGACTCAGTTCCTGTGTCTCTGTAATGAAGTACTGTTTGATTTCAGAGCGTGCTCTGCGCCTGTTGTACCTTCCCTGCCTCTGTCACTTGTCTCCAGAGGATGCCAGGGCTTAGTGACACGCCAGGTTATCAGCGTAGCAAGGTGAAGGGGCCTGGAGAGGTACAGGGTGTCCTGCAGCAGGCAGAAAAGGAACCTCATGTGTCTAAACACAGCTGTTACAGTCTGGAGAGGTGCTTATATCACTTGTATTTCTTCCCTAGAAAGACTAGAAACCACTGGGTTTGGTTTCTAGATGAGAAATCAGGCCTTTTCCCTTTCTTCTGGTGCCATGGACACTCTGGCACTTTTCCCCAAAGGCCCTTCCTGCCCCTTTGTGGCACAGGTGTGTCACCTGTGCTGCAGTCCTGGCCTGACTGCATGAGGGACCTGCTCCTGGCAGGGGCACTGGCTTTCTGGAGAGGCTGGAATGTGGCTGAAGCATTCAGACCTTTTCTTACTATGGAGCAAAGACTTCATGTCTCCCCAGGGTGTCCCCTGGAGCCTCTCCTTCCCTAACAACTCCAAAAGTCTCCTGTGTCCCACAGCTACTGCACTGCCTGTCAACAAGGGCAATTTCTGCTGCAGCCTCCCCAGCCCATGCTTTTAAAGAAAGCTCTCAGTCCTCAGGAGCAGCTCCAGAGTGAGTCTGAAAGTCTGGGATTTTGGGGATTTTTGGTGTAACTTGTTTTTCTAGAGTAGCTGCTCTGCTGTGGTGGAAACTTGTTCATGGTCTGTGTGTGGCATGTCAGGAGATCCAGTTCCAAAGGGCTCAGTGTAGTCTTGCAGGAAATGACACATCATGAGGGATTTTTTTTCTGTGGTGCAGAATTCTTTTCAACAAGCCTTTGCTTTCCCAATTAACTTCTTTTATTTGCTACCAAGATACCCTGGTGTGGCCTCAGCCAGAGACCTGGCACAGAACAGAGCAGGAGGGCGTTTAGACACGCACATGTTCTCTGAGCAGACAGTCACTGATATGGCACAAATGGTAAAAAATAGTAGTTTTGCTTGTCATGAGCTTTCAGAACCTCTGGAGACTCTACAAATGTACTGAAAAGGCCGTAATTTGCCCTATATAAGCAAAACCCCACAAATATATATATTGAATTGTGGCCACAGCCACGGGCCACTTCTTGACTTAACAACTGAGGGAACATATAATGTTTCAGTGAACTGATGTGTATTTGCAGAGCAGTGGGTCTATCAGCTGGTGTTTTTTAAATCCCTTTTTTTTTAATGGTCTAAAAATAATAAAATCCAACATGTTTGGTTTTTTTTAAACTCACAGTCGTCTGTCCTTGTCTTTTAAGGTAGTGCCAGTGTTTGGTTCAGAACTTTCTCTATCTCAAGCCAGAGGAAAATAAGCACACAGGCTTTTATTTCTTACAAAGTACCAGCTGCTGGCTGGACTGGAGCCCCCCTCCCTCCCCCAGCCCTGTGGGGCCCAGGTGGGGTTCCACACCTGAGCTGCTGCAAACCCTTGTTGTGCAACAGCTTTTATCTGCGGCAGGCCTGGCTTCTGTAGGCCGGGGATGCTTTTCATCTGCTCCAAATTCTCAAGGTGTATGTAAATAACTAATTATTGGCAAAGACGGGTGTGTGCAGCTCAGGGTGTGTACGTGAAGGAGTGGGTGTTGTCTTCACGAGTGAAATAACTTGTCCAAGCACATGAGAACGTGAAGGAATGCCCATGGGGCAGCGTTGGAGCACTGACCAGCCCCATGGGGCCTGGCAGAGGTGCCTGCAAGGTTCAGGAGCATCAGGGACCAGCAAAGGAGAGGGACAGGCCTCAGGAGAAACCTGGCTCCTGCAGCAGCCCTTCCTCAGAGCGACCTGGAGCTCCTGGTGGGCCCTGTGTTCTACAGGTCCTCAGTGGGATGTTCTTGGTGGAACCTGTGGCCACCTGCAGGTCCCAGCAGGGCCAGGAACCCTTCCTCCCATGAAGAAGAGCCCTCTTGCTTTGCTGCTGGAGCTGCTCTGTTTCCTGGGTGCCCTGTCTGGCAGGAGCTGGGTGCAGGCCGGGGGTTTCAGCCATCCCCCATGGGGTGCTGAGAGCTGGTGAGTCCCTCACACCCCCAGGGGACCGAAGCAAAAAGGCAAATCCAAGCCTTGCATCATGCGAGGGAGTTGTTTTCTTTGGTCTGTTTTTCTCTTCAAGAAAAAACCAGGGGTTTTCAAGTCTGACTCAGGCATTGTGACCTCTGACATCACCATGGTGCTGCTTCTGGTTTGCTCTGCAGGCAAAGGTTCTCATCTGTGTTGGGTTGTTGTCAAAAATATGCTTTTATCTCACCACAAAAACACACTCAGTAAAAGTTATTAAGAAGCTTGGGTTAAAAAAAGAACTGATCTCAAAGGTTTTTTTTGTTGGTTTGGGGGTTTGTTGGGTTTTTTTTTTTGCATTTATGTAATTATTAGATTTTATCACCCCAAAACCTTCTAACCTACAAAGCTGGTACAGTGACGGGTACACAGCAAAAAGCAGGCCCAAAGGGTAAGTTTTGAAAGGGATTTAGATGTTAAAATATGAACCAGGCACCTTGTGAGGTTGTTCAGAAATGATTCACCAGGTAAAGTGAACCCAGAGCCCAGGCCTCCGAGATCTTCGTGCATCCAAACCCCTTCCAAACCCCTCACCTACACACAGGACTGAGCTCAGCTTCCCAGAAAGAAACAAGCCCCATGTTTGTGCAGTAGCTGAACTTTCAGAGAAGAAAAAAAGACTGACAGAGAAACAAACAAGGTTGGGTGTTTTTTTAAAAAATTGTAAGAAATCACCTGTGTATAACCTGGACAAGTCTTGCCAAGTTGCTGTGCCTGGAGCCAAACGAGCTGCAGACACTGCTCACAAGAGAGGATTATGCTGGTGACAGAAAGAAATAAAACAGATTAAAGGAGCTTTACAGAAATAAAATATCAAAGCAAATCCAAGCCCTGGCACAAAGGGGCAGCTCGTGTGTGTCAGGGAAGCAGAACCTGTTCAGAGCCTTGTGCTGCAGCAGCACAGCTCAGGGCAGGGGCAGAGAGCCTGACCCTGACCTCAGGAGGCTTGGGGGGAGCCCACATCCACACCTGTGAGGTTGGTGATAACCTGAGGGTGAGGAGGTCCTGAGAAGAGGAGGTGTGGGTAGGCAGCACACAGGGAGCAGGCTCAGACCCTTGCTCTGCTCAGGCCTTTGCTGAGGTCCCTTCTCTGTGCCAGGATGTTTTTCCATTTCCCACGAGCTCCAAGTGCAGCCTCTGTGCCTGCCCTGCCCATGGAGCCAGTGATGGTTTATTTCTCCTTGTCTTGCCCCAGGTTTTGCCCTGAACTTAAAGCCAGGCAGGCTTTGCTGTTCAGTATTTTTTTTTAAAGTCATTTTTTATTTTTTTCCTCAATTTATCAAAAGCTACTCAGCCACCAAACCAAACCCCCACACCATCAAAACACTGCTGTGGTGTTCTTGTTCCTGTGTGACCTCCCTTCATCCCCTTAACTGACAAGTGTTCCCAGCAGTCCCAAGAGCTGGAATCCTGGGGGAAAACCCCTCATGGCCAACTGGAGATGGAATTGGGGCAGGTTAAGTGCTGGCAGAGGTGTGTGAGCTGCAGCAGGCGCTGCCACCAGGAGTCCCCATCAACCTGCCCGAAGGACACCCAGCCCTGGCCTTGGCTATGAAGGTGAGCAGTGCTTTTCTTGTACAGGATCCCCAGTGCCTGCCAGCAGCAGCAGCAGTGGCAGCTCATGCTCAGGGCTTGACAGAAATTACTGACTTCTGGAGTCCCAAGTGAAGCTTTACATGATAGTTTACAACAAAATAAGAGGGTTTAACTCCCCTCACCCTGAGAGCTGCTGGTTGTACCAGCTCAGAGTGAGATGCAGTTGTGCCAACTCACAGTGTGAGGCATTTGTAGCAATTTGCCAAACCAGGGTGAGATGCTCACAGGTCACTCACCTGCAGCTTTGAGGCTCCTGGATATGAGCTGCAGGTGCTGCACTGCAGGAGAGGGGGTTGAGCATGCCAGGTACTCAGAGAGGCTGGATTTCCACGTGTTCTCCCAGGCAGGCACCCAGCAAGTTTCAGTTTCATCCTGGACTGTTACAGCCAAGACTGTTTGTGCCTCCAAGGAGTTGCAGCACCTGCTCAAGACTTTGAACCCAGGGCTTGGATCCCTGGGTTTGAAATGCCCCGTGCATGCAGAGTGCTACTGACAGTGACTGGCAAACTTCTCCCAGCAGGACCTGATGACCAAGTGGGATCAGACACTTGAATCTGAAAGCCCAGATCCTGCTTCAGATCAGCCTTGCTGTTTTTGCTCTCAGTTCCCTTCTTTCACTTTGACATTTTTTTCCACAATCTTCGAGGGGTTTTTTGAAGTGGTTTTGCGCGTTTCACACTGATGTCTTATTTTGTTGTAAGTCATCACGTAAAGCTTCACTTGTCACTCCAGAAGTCAGTAATTTCTGTCAACAACCACTTTGAATTTGCTTTTATCACCCGATTCTGTTAAAGAGTCAAGAAAAAGCCATTTTAATTCTGGCACCAGTTTCAGGGTGGGGAAAGCCAAACCAGAAAGAATGACAGTAACAACAACAGAAACCAAGTGAAAAAATCACATTATCATGGGTTATTACAATCTTTTTAACCCCAGGGATAAGAAATGCCAGGTCTGTAACAGAGAAGGCTGGATGAGCTCTTCTTGGAGCAAACACTGAAGGGATTATTTCCAGTTTCTAGATCCAGTTTTCATCCAAAGGCAGCAGCAGATTGGTGTTAAACCTTCCACCTTCTGAACAGTGGAACACACCTCACAGGAGTGATGTGTGCTGGATGCTCAGGGACACTTCAACTCTCAATTATTTTTAAGGTCCATAATGCTTTATCTCTTTAATCAATATCCCTTTATCTCCCTAAACCATCTTGTTATGTCTCTAAATGATTCACTGCTCACTAGTGTTTGATATTCTTGCCCAGCACTTTGCACAAACCATCTCTAGACACAGCTGGTGCTCATATGCCCCCCCGGCATAGTTTCTGTAACATTCCAGGAGCTTTTCTTCCCATTTTCAATCACCTCTCCTTTCCCACCCATCCTTTTGAGATGAGCACGGTCTCCTTCATCTTCAGGCCAGAAAGGATCTGTTTGTTCATCACAGTCCCTCTGCATACAGCTCAGGCACTGCGAGCAGATGCCATGGGAAACTGCCCAGCCCTGCCCTGAGGGACACAGGGGCCAGCAGTGCACATGGTCAGTGGCTGATCACCCCTCCCTGGGGTTGGAAAGGGGAGTGTCCCTGTCCCTGCCAGCCTGACCCCTCCTCACTGGCGTCTCCAGGTGTGTTTCCCTCCCCACGTCTCAATTTCTGGGCTCCAGGATGAGGGAGCTGCTCTCATGGCAGAGAATCACAGAGTCATTTAGGTTGGAAAAGACCTCCAAGGCCACCAAGTCCAACCTGTGACCCATCCCCACCTTCCCAACCAGACCAGAGCACTGAATGCCACATCCAGTCATTCCCTGAACACTTCCAGGGATGGGAACTCCAGCACCCCCCTGGGCAGCCCCTTCCAAGCCTGACCACCCTGCCCACGAAGAAATTCTTGCTAAAGTCCAACTGTTTAGTGCAGGGCAGATGCCAATTTGGTAAATCTTTTCTTTTTCCTCAAAAGAAGAACTGGAGAGCCAGGCCATCACCTAGGACATGATGTGGGCACAAAGCAGGTGAATTCCTGGTGACATTGGGTGTGCCTTTCTCTGCTGTGGCTGACACCATGGGCAGCTGTGCATCCCAATCTGAGCCTGGTGCTGCACAGATTGCTTCCTCCCTCTGGGAGATAAGGATCTGTTAATAACCTGGTGGTGAGATCACAATCATGAAACGTTTCTACACCTGCTCAAAGAGCTCTGCTGGGTGAAGAATCCCAGCTTGGTGCCTCTCTTAAGGTCAGGAATTTACTCATGATTTCACTTCTGCTATTTTATATTTGCCTGAGGAACAACAACGTCAGCAGCCCCCGGAACGACCCTGCTGACTTCCACCACAAACCCCCCTGGATGTCCCCAGAACGTCAGAGGAGGGGCCTGGGCAGGGACAAGGCCAGAGCTGGGAGATCCCAGGCGCCTCGGGTTGGCATGGCCAGGCAGAGGGAGCAGCAGGACAGACGTCAGGGTCCCCCCCTGATGTCACTGCAAGGATGTGACTGGGAAGTACAGCTGGGAAAGGGCCACCCTGAACTCACCAACGCTTCTGTCTGGGCACCCCTGGCTTCCTCCAGCCACGGGGACAAACCCTCCCATGGCTC